TATACGTGCCGGAGCAAAACGCGACGACGCGACGACGGGGACCTGGAGATGGGGAACGGGACGAGAGCGCAGCGAGATGCGAAGTTTCCGAGGAGAATGGTGGGGAATCGGATGGACGTGCGTTGCGTGTGTCCGCGCCGATTAAGTCGGCCGGTGGTTGAGCGGAACGCGAGACGAGCGCATTTTCTATCGTTCATACGCGCGTGTCGCGTTCGCATTTCGCGCCGATTAGCTCTCCTTCGACGGATTATCGTCTCCTCTTCCTCTCCTCCTTCTCTCTCCTCCGTGTGTCGCCGGCGGGTCAGGTGCCGTGGTTCCGCGCCTTCCCGCCGCTTCCCGCGCGTTTCATCCTCACCGTTAACTCGCGCAGTCGCTCGCGCGCGAGGGTGCATTCGCCTCCAACCGAGAGGACAGATCTGCCACCCTCGCGATGTCGCCTAAAAATAAGGTAAGTGTAATTCCTTAAGATAAGGTCGCGCGTAGCGACCTTGAAAGATTGATGGCTTAACATCGCTTAAGAAAGGCAATCCTTGAGTTATATTATGTAATTCCGTATATATCAGTAATGTCAATTATAACGTATAAAATAATCATAGATATTATTTTCAAGCGATATTATATAATCTCAGGCATGTCAGAATATATATTAAATAATTATAACATAATTACATTATTTTTAAAGTAATTAAACGTTGAAACTGATATAATATGATTGTTGTATTTCCGTTCTCATTATTATATTTCAGGAATGAGGTCGTTCTCGATAACAAAATCCGAATTCGATCACGCGAAATTCTATGAGCTTCCAAATACGTATTGAAATATTATTAACGTAATAGAAAGTACTATAGATATTTATAATTATACATATTTTTAATTTATATTAATTTTGTATTTTATATTTATTTTTCTTTCAACGTTTATTGATATCACGATTGCTCAAAAGTATTCACAATAATATAGATATAAATATTCGCGATGAATAGCAGAGATGACTTTGCATTTTACATATTGTGTAAAATTTTTAACGAGATTACAACAAGATCTCGCAGTATCGTTTTTCTCTTTTCAAAGGATATGTCGAGTTTCGTAAAGATATCCCACGTGGTCGACGTGTTTAACGAGCGTGATCTCGCGCCTCCGCAACGTTAGCAGGAATTTGAATCAAACCGATAGCGAAGCGACGGAATATGATTACTTTGTGGGCGTAATTTTTCAACTTTCTTTCTTTCACTGTAATTGACATACGTTGCATTAATGCGCCGGCAAATAAGGATGTATGTCACATCTAAAAATGATACTAAAAATATAAAAATTTTATAATTTGTTTTATTATTACGTCCAAATATTTGTTCAAATATTGAAAAGTTTGAGAATAATTCTCTTAGGATTTAAAATTTATTTAATTTTTTCGTTTGATTATTATGTAAAATCACGTTTTCTAATACTTATTTACGAATTTGATGAGGAAATAACATTAAAAAATAAATCAAATTTTATACATGTAAAATACTATTACATTAATGAAATAATAATAAATATTCATATAAAAGTTTATTTGGAACCATTTAGTCAATTAAAAGTTATTGACCTAAAACTGCAGAGAGAGCGAAATATGATTATTTTGCATAAAACCATAAGCTAAATTTGTCGTTTTGTAGCAGTTGGTTTCAAAGTGTATTCATGAGCTAATATCATCAAAATTTTTTGAATATGATATTAATTTTTTTATGATTGACTAATATTCTTTGCTTATTGTATAAAACTTCCTTAATGTCACGGAAATGCGATTTTTTCTGTCGACGCGCAGAATTCTATTTCTTATACGTTTTACGTGATATTCAAAAAGATATATATATATATATA